CTCACCAGAAATGAACATCATAAAATTCAATGCCCGAGTTATTTATATGGCTGAATGCCTTTTTTGCTTGAAAATGTCTTTATGGTATTTTATTTAGAATAGGCGTGATTTCATAGGAAAATAAAATAAAATGCTGTCATTGCCTTCAATGGTAATGCCGTTTTGCATGTCCATTCTTTAATATTGAGATTATGTAGGTTATTGTATAATGTTGAGGTTGTGCAGGCCTGTTCTTAATATTAGATACATGAATACATAATTATACATTAGATACATAAGATACATTAGATACATAAAATCCACAAATCTCTGAAATATACAAGGCCAAATAACTTTACAAGTCTCGATACTTAAACTAATTCATATTTCATTACAGTACTAAAGATTGACTTCATGCATACATGTGCATATTTACTTCATGTATTTGTACATATATATACTTTATCGTACACTAAGCATCTGAACAATTAAACCAAACCTACATGTACTGATCTGTCACTTGTGCAGGATTTTTATTACAGTACTTTATATTGTTTTATATATTTTTCAAATTGTTTACAAAAAAATGTTAAATGTATGTTTAAATACAAGTATAAAGTTTGCTAGAGAACATGTCAACATCATAAGCCATTAGAGCAGATCAGAAAAAACACTTAAATTACTAGATAATAAGTTTACTTTATTCAGTTAATTTTTCAATGAATCTCCATTTTGTTCCGAGTCATTCGCTAGCAACCTCATGCTGCACAGTACCGTGGAAATCTGGGGTCAGATTCACGAAGCAGTTACGCAAGCACTGACGAACCCATACATCTTTTCTCAATCTTTGGCGGCTTTGTTTACAATTATTAAACAGTTAATGAGCTCCAAAGCACCAGGAGGCTGTTTATAACAATAACAACAGTTGATTGGCAAGTTTTCATGCTTGTAAACTGTTTAATAAATGTAACCAAAGCTGTCAAAGATTGAGAAAAGATGTACACGTTGACCAGACCACACACTAGAAATTGAAGGGACGACGACGTTTCGGTCCGTCCTGGACCATTCTCAATCGACTTGAGAATGGTCCAGGACGGACCGAAACGTCGTCGTCCCTTCAATTTCTAGTGTGTGGTCCGGTCAACATACTTCAGCCACGTTATTGTGACTCATCGCCTGCATATGTACACGTTCATAAGTACTTGCGTAACTGCGTCATGAATCTGGCTCCTTGTCATAGAGGACATGTGGGCTACAGTTGGCTTCATTTGGCTCATTGTCCATGTACAGCACTTGCATTAAGCCAAGTGTTTAGATGATGAATATTAAATTCAGTATTCACAATATTTTGTGTTCATGCAACCCATCCTCCTGTTTAGATACTGTAGTAGTTTCTGTAACTATGTGGACCATCGTACATACATAGACATAATGGACAATTAGATAGAATTTGGTACTTTAGAGTGTTCAAAAAAAAATAAGCTAGAAAACCAAACTTAAATATTCCTCTGCCTAGTATTGCACATATATGTACTATGTTAGGCCTCAGTATGTATTAGGCCTAGGAAAGTTAGGTTAAGTTTTCTTTGCAACATCAGTACAAAAACAGTAACAGTCTGTTCAAATTCAATAGTAACGATTTCTTTCTAATTGCCTTTTTACGCCAATATATGTATGATGGTCCTCATCATTACTGTAAGCACTACCTAAACAGGAGGCCGAGCTGGTTCATGACACACAGTTAACCACTGCACTGCGCCAAACAACAAATGTCGTTTTGAGAGTTGTGCGTTTTTTTAATTAGGCTATATTTTAATGTTTTTTAATGTTTTCATCAGTCTTTGTTTTGAAGTTAAAATAGTTAAGTTTGGAAACATTTTGACATTAAGTTTACCTGACCATTTATAAAAACAACAAAAACATGTCCTTAACAATTGCACTATGAAGTTTCTGCCTCAAACAGGTGCACAGTGCAGGGGTTAATGATGGCAGCCGCACACCTATGGAATCCCTATACTTTCTCCCTATTGTAATTGATATACAGTAGATACATTTAGGCTGTGATGGGCTTGATTCCAGATTAACTGTTAGCCTTACAATTACTTTTGGTCTGGATCAACCCAAAATTTGTACCCGAGGGATTTGTAATCCCTTGTAATTACAGGATTACAGTATAAAGCTGAATCTTTCACTTGCAGCAGGACATAGTGGAACAGTATATAAGATATCCTGTTGCGGTGATAGGGAACCATTTTTAACAGTTCCTGCTTACTTAGTCTTAAATTTGTATAGTGATATTCAGATATGAATTTTGTTTAATCTGTGTCATATATTTTGTAAAATTAAATTTACCTTCAGCCTCTGAATGTGTATTTGGTGTAATTTATATATTTTTATGTAGATATTAGATCTAAATATTAATTTATTCTCTAGATATTTCTAACATTACAAACTATGAATTTTATCAAAGTAAAAATAAAGTAGATGATTTAAATTAATTTCTAAACCATGGCATCCCTGTGGAATATTATAGTTGTGAAGATAATCAAGTCATTTTAATAATCTTCGTATGGCACTTAAAGACAAATTTGTTCAGTAAGATTTTTCTTACAATGGCAGCCTTTGCTTGCTTTGTCCATGCATCATACAGGGTAAATTAGAGTTAGGCATTTCTGATAATACTCGAGAGTTCACCGAGACTGTTCGTGTGCCAGTAGCGCAGAAATAAATCGATCTGCAATATTTTTATGCTTGTTTGATTCCTCCTACTCCATGGGGGGGGGGGGCGAGTCATTAGTACAGTACAATACATATCCAAAGTAGTACATATCAAATGATTTTGTCATTGGTCAGATTAAGCTAGGTATGGGCCATGTAACGTATGTTAGGGCTGGATTAAGTTAGTGCAAGACCTGTAGTATATGTTAGAGCTGGATTAAGTTAGTTTAGGGGCCCTGTAGCATTTGTTAGGGCTGGATTAAGATAGTGTGGGGCCTGTAGCATGTGTTAGGGCTGGATTAAGTTAGTGCGGGGCCTGAAGCATTTGTTAGGGCTGGATTAAGTTAGTGCAGGACCTGTAGCATATGTTAAGATTCAGATTCAGATTCAGATGTTTATTCAGGTAAGGTATATACATACAAGTGATGTTACATTAATGGATTGATATATAGATAGAGCTAGTACATACAATGCCTAAAGCCACTATTACGCTGGATTACGCTGGAGCTGGATTAAGTTAGTTTAGGGGCCCTGTAGCATTTGTTAGGGCTGGATTAAGATAGTGTGGGGCCTGTGGCATATGTTAGGGCTGAATTAACTTAGTGCAGGACCTGTGGCATATTTTAGGGCTGGATTAACTTAGTGCAGGACCTGTGGCATATGTTAGGGCTGGATTAAGCTAGTGCAGGGCCTGTAAAATATGTTATAAAGAGGCCCTAAATTAAAAAAATATACATAGATTAATTAAAATAATATAAATTAAATATGCGAAGCAAGATCAGTTTTCAGCAGTTCAGTACACAGCTTGAATTCTACACTAAAAATTTCTAACAGATCTTATGGATATGATTTGATAAGATTTATGACATATAAAATCTCTTCAGTTGTAAAAATGACTAACTGATGAAAGAATTCAAATACTGTAAATCATTTACCTATTGATAAGATCTTTCCCCCACAAAAGTATCACTTTGTCTTGATAAGGAGCCTCATGTACGACTCCCTGGGGCTTGGGGGGGTGGGTTCCCTTTGTTCCCCTCTACAGGCGTTGTATGTGTAAAATGAAACAAATGTAGGGCTCCCATTCAGGTCATAAGCTCACCCACTGAAGGGTCACCCTTAATGGTTGAATATTGAAACAAAGAAAGCAAAGAGTCATGCTAAATGGGAATGAATCTGATTGGAGAAATGTGGTAAGTGGGGTATATCTTGAGTTATCTTGAGGTGATTTCGGGGCTTAGCGTCCCCGCGGCCCGGTCCTCGACCAGGCCTCCTTTTTATTACACATCCCCCAGGAAGCAGCCCATAGCAGCTGTCTAACTCCCAGGTACCTATTTACTACTAGGTACAGGTGCATTAGGGCGAAAGAAACTCTGCCCATTTGTTTCCGCCTCCACCGGGAATCGAACTCGGAACCTCAGAACTACGAATCTGAAGCGCTGTCCACTCAGGTGTCAGGCACCTGTACCACAGGGGTGCAGCCCTTTTTGTCGTATATATCAATGACATAGATGATAATACTACAAACCACATCATCAAATTTGCAGATGACACACAGATTTATGGTAAAGTGGAAAATGACAATGATACTGAAGCCTTACTCAGAGGACTACATGAACTCCACAAACGGTCGGAAGACTGGCAAATGTTTTTTAATATTGACAAATACAAGACCTTGCATGTGGGGCATAACAACCCATGCCACGGCTACAAAATTAATAACATTACAGCAGACTGATGATGATAATTTGCAGTAGATGAAAATGGAGATGACGAAAAAGACCTTAGAGACAAAATCCACCACTCTATGAAAGTTGCACAGCAGGTAGGGATAGCAGTCAGAAAAGCTAACCAATCTCTTGGAATATCAAGCGTACCTTTGACGTTAAGGAAAAGAAGGTAGCGATTCAATTGTATAAATCTCGGGTGCGCCCCCATTTGGATTGCTGTATCTAAGCATGGAGACCACATCTTCAGAAGGACATAGCTGCTCTGGAGAAAATGAAACACCGGGCAACAAAAATCATTCCAGAGCTAAGTCAACTTCTGTATCAGGGATAGTTGAGGGCCACAGGGCTAACAACACTACAAACCAGGCATGACAGGGCGGATCTCGTTGAAACATAAAATACTGAACAATCTGGAGGACGTTGATCCAGAAAATTTCTTCAAAAGGTCATATGTAACACAAACAAGGAGCAACTGTTTCAAGCTCAACAAGTCACACTGTAGGACTGAGCACAGAGAGATGCATTTTTCACCCACAGGGTTATAAACCCATGGAACTGCCTATCCGCTAAGGCCGTAAATGTCAAAACTCTGTTAACTTTTAAAGTACAACTGGAAAAAGATCATCAAGGCAAATGTGGGGACCTTCAACAAGCCGCTGGCTTTCTGTCCTCGTCGAGGCCACTAGTGTTAGTGACTCTCGTGTAAATTCAGTTAAACATATTTCCCTTTTCCAGTCTTGTTTCTTTTCGGTAACAATTCCACGTTATCACACGCCATATTTCCCCACTTGATTATGAACGACTCCGCACAAATGGCCTTGGAGTGTTTATAATTGCTAATATTTCCTAGAGCATTATTTCCAATCAGCCTACTCCATCCCATACCCCAGACCAGTCCCCCTACAAATTTGTGCAAGTCTAGCCCAGCGCATCTGTTCTCCAACTTTGAACAAACATTCTCTTATATATTGCAATGCATTATAGGACTGTACATAGTACACTCTAGTGTACTTAGTGCAATTTCATTGTCTTAAGTCTACTAAATTGTGTTGGAAATATTATATTATTGCCCTCAAGCTACTCGAAGGCAATTGAAGATGGTAATCAACTGCCTCTTCAAGTCCACATGCCTTGGTTAACTTATCAGTTCTATCATTCATTTGCAGTGATAGTGCTTGCTCCTGCATGCAGCTGCCCTGATAGTGCTTGCTCCTGCATGCAGCTGCCCTGATACTGAACAAATTTACATTTAATGCTAATCAGTTAAAGAAATATTGTGCTTTAACCTCTGGTTGTATAATCATATTTTGTTTAGCTGGCTAGTTAGCAAAGTAAAAAAATTAGATGCAATTCTTTTTTTTGCTTCCATTTGATATAGAATCCAATAAGTCAATGAATCGAATTAACAGATAATGATACAGGTTACAGAATCCAATATACTTCACGTAATGACACCATTGTATAACCTTACCCTACTAATTGCTGCCTAAATGTCAGTGGATTTTGGACAAAAGGGCTGTGACCTTGGCCAGGTCAGCCTCAGCTTGGAGACCCATCTGGTACTCGTCCTGAACAGGTGATTCACGAAGTAGGATGGTGCTCGCTTCCTTCAGGGCCTCTACACATTCCTGTAGGACACAAAAATGTATATATATATATCATTCTGTATACTAGGATGTTGATGTAAAGTACATGTATATATATATATACCAGTAATAGATAACCCAACTTATACATGTGAACTTAAAGAGAATGTTTCAGGACAGACCAATCACCCTACTCCATCCCATACCCCAGACCAGTCCCCCTACAAATTTGTGCAAGTCTACTTCAATATATCGTCTCTTTCACTTCGAGTGTGGGTTGGGGATAATGGTCTTCGGCCATGTTATATATACATGTTAATTCTAAGTTATTACATTTGTATTAACCACCCAGTAAGCTAGTTCCTACCTGGAGAAGGGGTTTAGCCTGTGGAGAGAGCTTCAGTTTCTTGGGCAACCTGCGAAACTTTTCCCTACAGGTTGCCTGAAGTTCGTACTTCAGGAGTCCTCGAAGTCTGCTCTCTCCTGCAGAAGTGGGAATTGGTATAAAAGGAAGGGTGTGCAAGTTCAGAAACTTAAGTTACTAGAAATATAGAAACAGTGATACAACGCTGTCCTAAAAAGGATAAGCAAAGTTCAGTATTACTGAGAAGTGGCTACGTTTGTGAATCTATTTTATATTTTATTCTCTACCACAGACGAGGTCATTCCGTTATGTTAACCAGCATATATACATTTTCTTCTGTCCTCCATGAACGGATTCTGTTCATGGACCGTCATGGATGGGATTCTGTCTAAACTACAGTATTCGTAGAAAAGTGGATTGATACAAATTTATTTGGGTTAAAACGTTTAACTAATCTCCTTTTCTAAGCTCAGACAAGTCAAATCGTTTGTCACTGTCGAAGTCTCTGAACAGCTATATTTTATTTATTTAATTATTTATTTATATACAAGAAGGTACATCGGGTTTATGAGAGTACATAGCATTGATTTTTTTTACATTTTTGTAAAGCCATTAGCACGCATAGTGTTTTGGGCATTGGTTCTACAGCCGTTGTTATAGATTCAGCTACTGGGAACAAAAAGTTCCAAGTAGCATGGGCTAAGGTGAGCCCGTAGTGGACTTACCTGGCACAGGAGCGGGGCTGTAGCTGGGTTCTACAGCCATGGACGAAAAACAATTATGCCCGAAACGCTTTGCGTAATAGTGGCTTTAGGCATTGTATGTACTAGCCCTATCTATAAATCCATCATTCTTTGTAAAATCTCTTGTATGTATGTACCTTACCTAAATAAACATTTATTTATTTATTTATTTATTTATTTATTTATTTATTTATTTATTTATTTATTTATTTATTTATTTATAATTACAGACGCTTGAAAACTTACCTGGGCTAAATATATCAGCAAGCTTTAGTACTTCACGGCAGAGTTGTTCCTTTCTATTTAACAGATCTTTGGAGAGTTCTTGGAGTTGTGGCGTTTGTTGAGCAGATGTGCGACCATACATCTGAGCCATGGCCAGCTTCACGTCGCTCCTGTAATAGTGGTTCTCGCTTAGTCTGGTTACCGTAGTCTTCAGGAACGCTTCCGAGGCTGCAAGAGAACCTTCTTTGAGGCTCACCAGCTTTTCTCCAGTCTGCTTCAAGAATTCTTCAACTTGCTGTTGATCCAGTTTGTGCGAACAGTTATTGCACCCCCAGACTTCAGGACTGAGGGGAGAAGGTGAGGGAAGCATCAGCCCTGAAGGACATTGACCGCAACGCAAACTGCTCAGGTGTGTGCCCAGTTCGGTCGGGTCTTGACAGCGTGCGCAAAGACACTTGAAGTATTTACTTGTCTTTAAGTGCAATTGTCGATTTGCTGTGCCCCACATTGGGTCTGTATATGATGTAGTGATGTGGCTTCCTTTAGGGATCTTGACTGCTGCTCTGATGACGATGTTTAACTGGGAATCAAATGTCCTGGTTGTATTAGGGATACAGTTATGCTCTAAGAGGTATGCTTTGCCATATAGACCTATCGCATTAGGCCCCGGGATCTCGAAGCCATTGACGTCGATAATACCACACACTGTGTGTATCTCCTCAGGTGTAAAAGACTTGACTTTGAGGTACTGATTCATGAAATCAACAACGTTGGCTTGATTGACTTCGTGGACATCGGTGTTGATACGCTCCTTCATATGGGATTCCATCTGGGAGAGGGTTGACCACTTCGAGGGGTCCTTTTCCTTCAACCATAGACATCGTAGAGGAGTTATACACTCATACATCTGGTTCACTTGCATGAACTTGTGCACCTGAACCTTAATTGGCCTGACAGAAAGAGAGATTAAGCCAATTAGAACAGTATTTGTTAAAAAATTTCAATATAGAGCACAAGACATTTTCTGTACTTCGGACGTCATTATGGTAATGGAATGAAAGTATCCATATTTATTTCTGTGCTAAAGGAAATACATCCTAGTATGGAGACTTAATAACTTGAAGTAATAATTCATAAATATAGTTACATATACAAATATGGTAACTATTGTATATGATTAATTACCTTACAGACAGTAGCTTAAAGTTACAGTAAAATTTCTAAAGTAATAGTCACATAAATATGATAACTAATATATAGTAACTACAGTAATTTATAGTAACTTAATTGTAAGTAGCATCGCGTCGGGCTGCCACAGAGATAAGATAGAGTGGTTGCAGTTGCAAATATTTTTATTATTAATATTTAAATTAAAAACTTATATATCGCCTAAATTGTTTGTTTACCCTCACGCCCAAAAACATATATTTTGTACACATGTACTTAAATAAATAATTTGTATTAATATTATTATTATATTAATATGTATACACCTATATTAAATGGGGGTACATTAAATAAATATGGGATACACTACCACTCACAGGATGAATACGGGCGTACATTAAATATATATAGGATACACTCACAGGATAAGATACGGACTGCATAATAATTGAACTAAACTAAAAGAAAAACATCACCTATATGTGGAAAACACTGAACACAACACCATCACTACTTCCATATATGCAACCAGCCACACAAGGGTATGGTGGCTCAGTGGACAACGCTCGGCATTCATAATCCTAGGCTCTGGGGGATCGATCCCCGGCGATTGTGGAAACAAATGAGCAGAGGTTTTTTATCCAGATTAGCAGTAAATAGATACCTGGGAGTTAGATACTATGGGCGGCTTTCTGTGTGTGTGTGAAAGGTAGTAGATCCACAGACCTGTTTCTGGAGAGCTGGCACTCAGGGTAGTGGAGGACGACGTTCTGGCACTCTGGGCCACAAAGGGGCCAGCCACAGAGGGAACAGGAGTAGGAGCCGTCAACAGGAGTGAAGCAGCCTAGACACACAGGCACTGTAACCTGTAGATGCAAACCTTCCACTGTGTCACGTTTTTAAAACTGCATTGATAATAATGTTCATATACGTGAATATAGTTTTTTATAACATTAAGAAAATGGGTAAAATTCATTTTAAATATTTAGGTCTAAGAACAGAGTATGGATAAGGGCCAAGTGAAATATGTGACGCTGGAGACTTGAGTTATGAATCTGTTTAATTGTGGAAGAAGTTAGATATTATGAATAACTAGTTGTTGAAGTGTCACTGCTTAGAAGCCATCTTAGATGTATCAGTCCATCATTAGTAATGAGAGCACAAGTACTGGCGAGTATTAGATTGATTGATAAAGATTAAGCCACCCAAGAGGTGGCACGGGCATGAATAGCCCGTAAGTGGTGGCCCTTTTGAGCCATTACCAGTATCATTAGCTGATACTGGAGATCTGTGGAGGTGCGACTGCACCCTGCGTGACGGGAGATGTCTCCCGTGCGAGTATTAGGTGCAGGCGATGAGTCACAATAACGTGGCTAAAGTATGATGACCAGACCACACACTAGAATATGAAGGGACGACGACGTTTCGATCCGTCCTGGACCATTCTCAAGTCTTCCCACAATCGACTTGACAATGGTCCAGGACGGACCGAAACGTCGTCGTCCCTTCATATTCTAGTGTGTGGTCTTGTCATTGAGTATTAGGTGATACGAGGCAATAAGAATCATCATTTTGGAAACTAAATTACCTGTCGAGGTCCCAACACGAGCGGAGAATCCTTCATGATGACTTCCCCTGGCTGGATGTCCCGAGACGCCTCCAGGTACCTCCCCAGCTCCTCTGACTCACACACTCTGCAGAGGGAGCATCACATGTGCAAGGTTAAATGGGATTCTTGTATATTGATTTGTAGTAGAGAGGGTAGAAATAGCCTAAGCTACTCTAGCCCTTTGAGATGTAAGAACATAAGTTTAACTGTTTAACTGTTGTTTAATTAACTGTCATTAACTGTTTAATAATTGGAATCAAAGCCACCAAAGATTGAGAAAAGATGTGCAGGTTCGTAAGTGCTTTCGAGAATCTGGCCCCTGAACCACAATTTGAAAATGGCGGGCGATAGCTTCCTTGTCAGACGTAAGAGCACCTTGATGCTCACAAGAGTTGTAACTACACTGTGATAATAATCTGTTAGTGTATTGTAAAGCTAGGATGGTCTATGGATGCTTAGAACTGCATAGTGGAAAATTAATGTTGTATTAAAGACTCAAGTTGGTTACTGTACGATCAAGTGATCAAGCAGGCAGCATCCACAGCGTGGAGGGAGGAGGTCGCACAGTTGTGCGGAGATCGCGGGCTGGTGTGGATGCTCCCATTCTCTCTTTTAACCTCCTTCCCCATCTTACTCTTTACTAAACAGATAAGTAAATTATTGTTCTGTGCCACTAGTTGTTCTAAGTGTATTTTTATCTGTGTTCCCTAGTCAGATACTTTGTTATCAAAGTGTTAGATCTGTGTACTGACCGGTGAACACGTGGCTGCTATAGTGATATTAAGTCAAATTCAAAATTCAAATTTTTATTCGGGTGAAAGTCCATACATAGATAAAGAGTTACAAACATAATGTTGGATTTTAGTGGAGTGTGTCTCTCTCTTCAGGAAAAATTAGACTTTACCAGTAGTCACTAGGGGACATGATCACCACATTCAAGATTCTGAAGGGAATTGATAGGGTAGATAAAGACAGGCACAAGGGGACACAGGTGGAAACTGAGTGCCCAAATGAGCCACAGAGATATTAGAAAGAACTTTTTTAGTGTCAGAGTGGTTGACAAATGGAATGCGTTAGTCAGTGATGTGGTGGAGGCTGACTCCATACACAGTTTCAAGTGTAGATATGATAGAGCCCAATAGGCTCAGGAACCTGTACATCAGTTGATTGACGGTTGAGAGGCGGGACCAAAGAGCCAGAGCTCAACCCCCGCAAGCACAACTAGGTGAGTATAGACTCCATACACAGTTTCAAGTGTAGATATGATAGAGCCCAATAGGCTCAGGAACCTGTACATCAGTTGATTGACGGTTGAGAGGCGGGACCAAAGAGCCAGAGTTCAACCCCCGCAAGCACAACTAGACGAGTACTAGTGTGTTGTGTATAACTCGTCTCCTGCCTAATGTGGAGTCAGAGATGTAACTTAAGATCGAAATGGTAAAGTATTTTTGTTGTACTTGAAGGGTTCAAGGGTTAATAACCCTTAAACCGCGGGTTGGACATGTATATATGAGTGGGATTGGGTGGTTATAAAGAGGAGCTGCCTCGTATGGGACAATAGGCCTTCTGCAGTTACCTTTGTTCTTATGTTATAAAGAGGAGCTGCCTCGTATGGGACAATAGGCCTTCTGCAGTTACCTTTGTTCTTATGTTATAAAGAGGAGCTGCCTCGTATGGGACAATAGGCCTTCTGCAGTTACCTTTGTTCTTATGTTATAAAGAGGAGCTGCCTCGTATGGGACAATAGGCCTTCTGCAGTTACCTTTGTTCTTATGTTATAAAGAGGAGCTGCCTCGTATGGGACAATAGGCCTTCTGCACAGTTACCTTTAGTCTTATTTTCTAATAAATTATATTAAATTTCAGCTGGAGTTTCCATCACTCCTTTTTGTATTGGGTTAGGTGATCTGCTCTAGACGACAGACCATTTTGAATTCATTTGTTTATTGGTAATTATTTTCCGTGGAGGCCGAGCTTTTCCTAACTCCATTAGGTGTACTCCCTTACCAGGAAGTGAAGGGACGACGATGTTTCGGTCCGTCCTGGGGCCAGATTCACGAAAGCACTTACGCAAGAACTTACGAACCATATATGTCCATATTTTCTCAATCTTTGGCGGCTGTGTTTACAATTATTAAACAGTTATTGAGCTCCGAAGCACCAGGAGGCTGTTTATAACAATAACAACAGTTAATTGGGAAGTTTTCATTCTTGTAAACTATTTAATAAATGTAACCAAAGTCGTCAAAGATTGTGGAAAGATGGACACGTTCGTAAGTAAGAACATAAGAACAAAGGTAACTGCAGAAGGCCTATTGGTCCATACGAGGCAGCTCCTATCTATAACCACCCAATCCCACTCATATACTTGTCCAACCCGCGCTTGAAACAATCGAGGGACCCCACCTCCACAATGTTACGCGGCAATTGGTTCCACAAATCAACAACCCTGTTACTGAACCAGTATTTACCCAAGTCTTTCCTAAATCTAAACTTATCCAATTTATACCCATTGTTTCGTGTTCTGTCTTGTGTTGATATTTTTAATACCCTATTAATATCCCCCCTGTTATGTCCATTCATCCACTTGTAAACCTCTATCATGTCACCCCTAACTCTTCGCCTTTCCAGTGAATGTAACTTAAGCTTTGTTAATCTTTCTTCATATGAAAGATTTCTAATTTGGGGAATTAACTTAGTCATCCTACGCTGGACACGTTCAAGTGAATTTATATCCATTCTATAATACGGCGACCAAAACTGAACTGCATAATCTAAATGGGGCCTAACTAGAGCAAGATATAGCTTGAGAACCACACCAGGTGTCTTGTTACTAACGCTTCGATTAATAAATCCCAGTGTCCTATTCGCCTTATTACGAACATTCATGCATTGATCCTTTTGTTTTAAATTCTTACTAATCATAACTCCCAGATCCCTTTCGCAATCCGACTTCGCAATCTCAACACCATCAAGTACTTTCGTAACTGCTTCGTGAATCTGGCCCAGCTGGACCATTCTCAAGTCGATTGTCTACAATCGATGAGCAAAAAAATTCATAATTGATTTAATGACATAGCTTGCAATAGTCAAGAAAAAAGGATATAGTCACAATACTTCTAATGCATGCAAGCAAATGCAGGCGATGAGTCTGCATTTGGCTAAAATGCCAATAACGTGGCTAAAGTATGTTGACCAGACCACACACTAGAAGGTGAAGGGACGATGACGTTTCGGTCCGTCCTGGACCATTCTCAAGTCGATTTGAGAATGGTCCAGGACGGACCGAAACGTCGTCGTCCCTTCACCTTCTAGTGTGTGGTCTGGTCAACATGCAAGCAAATGGTCAAGGGAAGAGGTGTTTTCAGGTAAGGTACATACATACAAGAGATTTTACATAATTTGATTTATAGATGGAGCTAGTACATACAATGCCTAAAGCCACTATTACGCAAAGCGTTTCGGGCAGGGAAAAACATTAATGACTAAAACTTAATACTAATTGAGTATAGGTACCTGTAGGGGCTACAGTGAGCACGGTGTGTGTTCCAGTGCTCCTTCTGGTGTTCCTTGCTACAGTAGGCTGTCAGATGACACTTCCCGCAGCGCTGGCTGGCCGCACATCCACACACAGCGCACGCCCAACCCGTCATCCTAACATAATAAATAAATAAATAAAATAAAATGTTTATTTAGGTAAGGTACATACATATAATAAATTTTTACAAGGATTGGTTGACTTATAGGTAGAGCTAGTACATACAATGCCTAAAGAACATAAGAACATAAGAACAAAGGTAACTGCAGAAGGCCTATTGGCCCATACGAGGCAGCTCCTATTCTATAACCACCCAATCCCACTCATATACTTGTCCAACCCGTGCTTGAAACAATCGAGGGACCCCACCTCCACAATGTTACGCGGCAATTGGTTCCACAAATCAACAACCCTGTTACTGAACCAGTATTTACCCAAGTCTTTCCTAAATCTAAACTTATCCAATTTATACCCATTGTTTCGTGTTCTGTCCTGTGTTGATACTTTTAATACCCTATTAATATCCCCCCGGTTATGTCCATTCATCCACTTGTAAACCTCTATCATGTCACCCCTAACTCTTCGCCTTTCCAGTGAATGCAACTTAAGCTTTGTTAATCTTTCTTCATATGAAAGATTTCTAATTTGGGGAATTAACTTAGTCATCCTACGCTGGACACGTTCAAGTGAATTTATATCCATTCTATAATATGGCGACCAAAACTGAACTGCATAATCTAAATGGGGCCTAACTAGAGCAAGATATAGCTTGAGAACCACACCAGGTGTCTTGTTACTAACGCTGCGATTAATAAATCCAAGTGTCCGATTTGCCTTATTACGAACATTTATGCATTGATCCTTTTGTTTTAAATTCTTACTAATCATAACTCCCAGATCCCTTTCGCAATCCGACTTCGCAATCACAACACCATCTAGCTCGTATCTTGTAACTCTATCATCATTACCTAACCTCAGAACTTTACATTTATCAGCATTAAACTGCATCTGCCAATCCTTTGACCATTTCAAAACCCTATCTAGATCAACTTGAAGTGATAGTGAGTCCTCCTCCGAATTAATTTCCCTACCGATTTTCGTATCATCGGCAAATTTGCAAATGTTGCTACTCAAACCTGAATCTAAATCATTTATATATATTATAAACAACAGAGGTCCCAGGACAGAGCCTTGAGGCACTCCGCTTACAACATTTTCCCACTCTGACTTGATTCCATTCATACTAACTCTCTGTTTCCTTTGGTATAGCCATGCCCTAATCCAGCTTAATATAGCACCCCCAATACCATGAGACTCTATCTTTTTAATCAGTCTTTCATGTGGCACTGTATCAAAAGCTTTGCTAAAGTCAAGGTATACAACATCGCAATCCTTACCACTATCAACTGCCTCAACAATGCTAGAATAAAAAGATAACAATTTGTTAAACATGAACGGCCATTTATAAAACCATGTTGAGACTCAATTATTAATTTATGTTTTTCAAGATGAAGACGAATTTTATTTGCTATTATAGATTCGAGTAACTTTCCCACAATAGACGTTAGGCTAATTGGTCGATAGTTAGACGCAAGTGATCTATCTCCTTTTTTAAAAACTGGTATCACATTAGCAACTTTCCAAAACTCTGGCACTCTGCCTGACTCTATTGATTTATTAAATATGGTTGACAGTGGGTCACAAAGCTCCTCTTTGCATTCTTTAAGCACCCTGGCAAACACTTCATCCGGCCCTGGGGATTTGTTTGGTTTGAGTTTTACTATTTGTTTAGGAACATCCTCCCTGGTAACTGCTAAACTCGTCAACCTGTCCTCGTCCCCACCCACATAGACTTGTTCGGCTGAAGGCATATTGTTAAGTTCCTCTTTAGTAAATACAGATACAAAATATTTATTAAAAATACTACTCATCTCTTCATCACTATCTGTTATTTGACCTGTCTCAGTTTTTAATGGACCTATCCTTTCCCTAGTCTTAGTACGATATAACTGAAAAAAACCTTTAGGATTTGTCTTTGCTTGCCCTGCTATGCGAACTTCATAGTTTCTTTATGCTTTCCTTATCTCTTTTTTAACATTTCTAACCAGTTGTACGAATTCCTGTTCTAAAGTGAAAACCACCCAATCCCACTCATATACATGTCCAACCCACGCTTGAAACAAACCAAACCTAACACAACCAAACATCTGGTTAATATAAGAACATAAGAACATAAGAACAAAGGTAACTGCAGAAGGCCTATTGGCCCATACGAGGCAGCTCCTATTCTATAACCACCCAATCCCACTCATATACTTGTCCAACCCGTGCTTGAAACAATCGAGGGACCCCACCTCCACAATGTTACGCGGCAATTGGTTCCACAAATCAACAACCCTGTTACTGAACCAGTATTTACCCAAGTCTTTCCTAAATCTAAACTTATCCAATTTATATCCATTGTTTCGTGTTCTGTCCTGTGTTGATACTTTTAATACCCTATTAATATCCCCCCGGTTATGTCCATTCATCCACTTGTAAACCTCTATCATGTCACCCTAACTCTTCGCCTTTCCAGTGAATGCAACTTAAGCTTTGTTAATCTTTCTTCATATGAAAGATTTCTAATTTGGGGAATTAACTTAGTCATCCTACGCTGGACACGTTCAAGTGAATTTATATCCATTCTATAATATGGCGACCAAAACTGAACTGCATAATCTAAATGGGGCCTAACTAGAGCAAGATATAGCTTGAGAACCACACCAGGTGTCTTGTTACTAACGCTGCGATTAATAAATCCAAGTGTCCGATTTGCCTTATTACGAACATTTATGCATTGATCTTTTTGTTTTAAATTCTTACTAATCATAACTCCCAGATCCCTTTCGCAATCCGACTTCGCAATCACAACACATAAGAACATTAGAACATAAGAACAAAGGTAACTGCAGAAGGCCTATTGGCCCATACGAGGCAGCTCCTATTCTATAACCACCCAATCCCACTCATATACTTGTCCAACCCGTGCTTGAAACAATCGAGGGACCCCACCTCCACAATGTTACGCGGCAATTGGTTCCACAAATCAACAACCCTGTTACTGAACCAGTATTTACCCAAGTCTTTCCTAAATCTAAACTTATCCAATTTATACCCATTGTTTCGTGTTCTGTCCTGTGTTGATACTTTTAATACCCTATTAATATCCCCCCGGTTATGTCCATTCATCCACTTGTAAACCTCTATCATGTCACCCCTAACTCTTCGCCTTTCCAGTGAATGCAACTTAAGCTTTGTTAATCTTTCTTCATATGAAAGATTTCTAATTTGGGGAATTAACTTAGTCATCCTACGCTGGACACGTTCAAGTGAATTTATATCCATTCTATAATATGGCGACCAAAACTGAACTGCATAATCTAAATGGGGCCTAACTAGAGCAAGATATAGCTTGAGAACCACACCAGGTGTCTTGTTACTAACGCTGCGATTAATAAATCCAAGTGTCCGATTTGCCTTATTACGAACATTTATGCATTGATCCTTTTGTTTTAAATTCTTACTAATCATAACTCCCAGATCCCTTTCGCAATCCGACTTCGCAATCACAACACCATCTAGCTCGTATCTTGTAACTCTATCATCATTACCTAACCTCAGAACATTACATTTATCAGCATTAAACTGCATCTGCCAATCCTTCGACCATTTCAAAACTCTATCTAGATCAACTTGAAGTAATAGTGAGTCCTCCTCCGAATTAATTTCCCTACCGATTTTCGTATCATCGGCAAATTTGCAAATGTTGCTACTCAAACCTGAATCTAAATCATTTATATATATTATAAACAACAGAGGTCCCAGGACAGAGCCTTGAGGCACTCCACTTACAACATTTTCCCACTCTGACTTGATTCCATTTATACTAACTCTCTGTTTCCTTTGGTATAGCCATGCCCTAATCCAGCTTAATATAGCACCCCCAATACCATGAGACTCTATTTTTTTAATCAGTCTTTCATGTGGCACTGTATCAAAAGCTTTGCTAAAGTCAAGGTATACAACATCGCAATCCTTACCACTATCAACTGCCTCAACAATGCTAGAATAAAAAGATAACAAATTTGTTAAACATGAACGGCCATTTATAAAACCATGTTGCGACTCAATTATTAATTTATGTTTTTCAAGATGAAGACGAATTTTATTTGCTATTATAGATTCGAGTAACTTTCCCACAATAGACGTTAGGCTAATTGGTCGATAGTTAGACGCAAGTGATCTATCTCCTTTCTTAAAAACTGGTATCACATTAGCAACTTTCCAAAACTCTGGCACTCTGCCTGACTCTATTGATTTATTAAATATGGTTGACAGTGGGTCACAAAGCTCCTCTTTGCATTCTTTAAGCACCCTAGCAAACACTTCATCCGGCCCTGGGGATTTGTTTGGTTTGAGTTTTACTATTTGTTTAAGAACATCCTCCCTGGTAACTGCTAAACTCGTCAACCTGTCCTCGTCCCCACCCACATAGACTTGTTCGGCTGAAGGCATATTGTTAAGTTCCTCTTTAGTAAATACAGATACAAAATATTTATTAAAAATACTACTCATCTCTTCATCACTATCTGTTATTTGACCTGTCTCAGTTTTTAATGGACCTATCCTTTCCCTAGTCTTAGTACGATATAACTGAAAAAACCCTTTAGGATTTGTCTTTGCTTGCCCTGCTATGCGAACTTCATAGTTCCTTTTTGCTTTCCTTATCTCTTTTTTAACATTTCTAACCAGTTGTACGAATTCCTGTTCTAAAGTGATCTCCCCATTTTTAATCCTTTTGTACCAAGCTCTCTTTTTACCTATAAGGTTCTTCAAATTCTTTGTTATCCACTTTGGGTCATTAGTATACGATCTATTCAATTTGTATGGTATACTACGTTCCTGTGCTTTGTTTAGAATATTCTTAAATAAGTTATATATTGAATCCACATCGAAATCCCCATTTAAGTCACCTATCGCTGGGTTCATGTCTCGCTCCAAGACCGGCCCACACCCCATACCCAAGCCTTTCCAATCAATTTGACCCCAAAAATTTCTTAGGCTATTAAAATCAGCTTTTCGAAAATCTGGCACTTTAACAGAATTTTCTCCTACTGGTCTATTCCATTCTATGCTAAATCTGATTTCTTTGTGATCACTGCTCCCTAGCTCACTCCCTATTTCGATGTCATTAATTTGCGTTTCCCTGTTAGTTAACACTAAATCTAAAATATTATTTTCCCGTGTTGGTTCCTTAATGTGTTGCGTAAGAAAGCAATCGTCAATTAATTCTAGAAAATCTTCTGCTTCACTATTCCCTGTTTTGTTCAACCAGTTTATTCCGCTAAAATTAAAGTCACCCATGACATAAATACTGTTAGATCTAGATGCTCTAGATATTTCATCCCATAGATGCTTTGCTTCCATTCTGTCTAAATTTGGTGGCCTATATATTACTCCTATTATAATATTATTAGCTTTTTCGTTTAATTCAATCCAAATAGTTTCTGTGTGTGGCTCTGTTTTGATTCCCTCTTTGAGACTACATTTCAAATTGTCCCTAACATATATGGCTACTCCACCTCCTCGTCTAATATATCTATCTGTGTGAAATAGTTTAAATCCATATATTTGATATTCAGCTAATAGTTCTCTATTTTCTACATTCATCCACGTTTCGGTAAGTGCAATAATATCTATTTTTTCTGTGCAGACAAGAGCATTTAATTCGTTAATTTTATTTCTTAGACTTCTACTGTTAGTGTAATATACCCTAAGTGAATTGTTATTTTGCGGACCTTCTCTTCCCCTGGTCGTTTTGCCAATTCCTTTCTCCCACAAACACATACTTTTATTACTTCCTTCCTCCAAATCAATTCCCATACCTCTATCTACTAACAGTTTAAACCCAAACAAACACCTCTAACCACTTCTTCTAACGAGTTCGCAACAGCAACAACCCCAGCTCTCGATAGATGCACCCCATCACGAGCATACATTTCATTTCTTCCATAGAAGTGTTCCCAGTTGTCTATGAAAGATATTGCATTTGATTTGCAATATCTTTCCAGCCGGCAATTGACACCAAGTGCCCTCGATATCCATTCATTTCCCACTCCCTTTCTTGGAAGAATGCCACATATGATCGGGATTCCTCCCTTGCTCCTAACTAACTCTATGGCTGTTTTATACCTCTGAATCAGTTCCTCACTCCTAACTCGACCAACATCATTTCCTCCCACGCTAATGCAAATAATGGGATTGTTCCCATTACCAGCCATAATATCATTCATGTTGTTTATAATATCACCAATGCCAGCTCCGGGATAGCAAACCCTTAACCTGTTCCCCCTATCTCTAGCACAAAACGTTCTATCCAAATACCTTATCTGGGAATCTCCCACAACTAATGTTTGCTTAGGTACTTCCTTTACCCTCTGAGGGGCCTGCGCTTCCTTTCTCTTCGTTGCTTTCCCTTTTGCGCGATCCACAGTCTCTCCACAGCACTCGTCCTCCAAAACGTCAAATGAATTAGAGGTTGCTATGGCGTTTGAAGGCGGCTTTATCAAAGTCTTCTTAAGGCCCCTGTCTTTCACAACTCTCCAAGACGAGGTCCCTTTACTGCTGGTCTCCTCCTTCGTTACTCCTCGTTGTTCTTTAAGCTGACGCACCTCCTCCCGCAGAAAGTCCAACTCTGTCCTCAGGGCTCCCACTAGAGTCACCAGGTCCTTAACTACAACTTCCATATTGCTATGATAATGATCCACAAGGGCCGTGACGAGGACTCGAACCTACGTCCGAGAGCATCCCAGACGCTGCCGTAATTGACTGAGCTACGACATGGTCAATTTGTGAATTTGTTCATTCCAATACGATTGGTTCCAGCGCCGTCGCAGGAACTGAGTTATATTTATTTATATAAATAAACACAAATCAGCTATTAGAACAATAACAAACTCTAGTCCCAGACACCACTTTGCCCCCTTAATATCTACCATATTTAAGGATTTAAGTCATTGCACATCCATTGTCCTCTATGTATATAAAACTCTGAACTGTAATGCTAATCCTGACCTTAAACGCTTCCTGCAGAGTTGTAACAGAACCCATGGGTACCATACATAGCAAGAGTCCCAAAAATGGCCTTCCCAATCATGTCAAACACTTGACGTGATTGGAAAGATGATAAAAATTATCTTGATGGGTCAAACTGTGACCCTGACACACTATTCCCTCTTGAAATCTGATGACCCCTACAAGCCTATGTCCGTCCCGTACCCTAGACCAGTCCTTCCTGCAAGGTTGGATGATGCTAGCCACAAACATCTGGCCATAACATTGAACAGACAAATATAGATACTCTCTTACATATAGATATAAGATATTTCTTGTAGGCTAAGACTGTCAGCCATCACTTCACAAAGACATCAGCCTTAACTCATGTCTATAAACATTAATCATACTAGTAAAATAAAATAAAATAAAAAAAATAAAATGTTTATTTAGGTAAGGTACATACATACAAGAAATTTTTACAAAGATTGGTTGACTTATAGGTAGAGCTAGTACATACAATGCCTAAAAAGCCACTATTACGCAAAGCGTTTCGGGCATAACTCCTAGTGACTCCTCTGGTGACATTGACCACGTGGTCTGTGTACCATTTATCACAAATATGTGCCACTGACACCACAACATAAAATGAACAAATCCACAAAGGCCGTGACGAGGATTCGAACGAACATAAAGTTTTCCGTACCTCCTTTCTTCTCAGGGCACGTGCATCATTATTTTCACAAGTTCTCTCTCTCTGCAGAGGATGTAAGACTGAATAACACATTAGATACCTTAATGGTGGATACAATCAAATGAAAATAAAGTTACCAGATGAAATCAGATCCCAAATACCTTGTTGATTATCGTTGTGAATGTCTCGCTGAATTCGGCATATGTTCACCCACACCTGTTTATATATCTTCAGTTTTGGTTATCCTGGATGACAGATGTGCTAGTGAGGTTCAGTGTGTTAGCAGCTGTAAGAGATGGGAGCCGGCGTCTCTCTCACACACATGCCTGCCCGACGCTCGCTAAAATAGAACTGGGAAGCCTCACTGTTGGCTGGGTCTGAGGGCTGTTACTATATGTTTTTGTTATATTCGGTCGTATGTATTCCACAAGATATATTTATATATGGGAATTATACTGCACTCTGAAAAAAAACGGGATAATATAAGTTATAATACACAGGAATCAAAGGTTCATTCCCGTGCATAATCGTAGGCTTTTGCCGCTAAATTTAATTTATACGCGGCTTATTTTTGCTTGAAATTAAATTATTTACCGTAGTAACTGTCTAGGAGACGTAGGTTCGAACCCTCATCACGGCCTTTTGAGTTCTTGTTCACCTTTCTAGGAGGATTGAGCAATATAAAATAAATCTTAGGGTGAATTATGCTATATTTTCGCATTGTGGTCGCTATGGAATGCAGAGATATTGTGATTTTCTCCAAGGAGCGCACTTTATTTATTTATTTATTTATTTATTTATTTATTTTATTTATTTATATATGTATATACAAGAAGGTACATTGGGATTGTGAGGATACATAGCAGAGTAATTACATTCTTGTAAAGCCACTAGTACGCGCAGCGTTTCGGGCAGTGGCTTAAGTGGCACTTAAGCCACTTTGAAGGAATATAAGGATATGGGATTGGACGGAGTGGAGGAATGGTGCCCAATCGTTTGGTCTAGAGAAGGGGGGGGGGTAGAAATAGTCTAAGCTACTCTATTTCTTTGAGAATTAATTATTCCTTATGCGTTATATCTTGAGATGATTTCGGGGCTTAGCGTCCCTGCGGACCGGTCCTCGACCAGGCCTCCTTTTTGTTACACCCCCCCCCCCACCAGGAAGCAGCCCGTAGCAGCTGCCTAACTCCCCCCTATTCACTGCTCGGTGAACACGGAGCACCAGGGTGAAAGAAACTGCCCATTTGTTTCCGCCTCCACCGGGGATAGAACCCTGAACCTTTGGACTACGAATCTCGAACGCTGTCCACTCAGCTGTCAGGCCCCTTCAAAGCCCCAGCTTGTATATAATTCATAGACAATCGACTTGAGAATGGTCCAGGACGGACCGAAACGTCGTCGTCCCTTCACCTTCTAGTGTGTGGTCTGACATCGACTTGAGAATGGTCCAGGACGGACCGAAACGTCGTCGTCCCTTCACCTTCTAGTGTGTGGTCTGACATCGACTTGAGAATGGTCCAGGACGGACCGAAACGTCGTCGTCCCTTCACCTTCTAGTGTGTGGTCTGACATCGACTTGAGAATGGTCCAGGACGGACCGAAACGTCGTCGTCCCTTCACCTTCTAGTGTGTGGTCTGACATAGACTTGAGGATGGTCCAGGACGGACCGAAACGTTGTCGTCCCTTCACCTTCTTTACTTGTGTAAAGGAGGAAATGTAGATGTTTATCTCTCAGAATGTTTGGTAATATGTTTATTGTTTGTGATGTGTGTCTATGTATGTATTAACACGATGTACTGAACGGGGTGAGAATAGCTTGAGCTACCTCATCCCTTTGTGTGGATTTTACCTCAATAAACTTATTTCAATTTCAATTTCAATTCACCTTCTAGTGTGTGGTCTGGTCAACAATCAAAATGAACCGATCCATTGGACGGCAGTTTTTTTTTTATTATTATTATTTTCTACCACAGACGTGGCTAGACATTTACAATGCTAACCAGCATATATACATTTTCTTCTGTCCTCCATGGACAGGGTTAGAGATGTGTTAAACATATAGTTCCAGGGTTTATTGAACACTCAACCACAGAAGATGATTCGGTGCTTTTAAAATGCTAAGCTAACCTACATACGTAAATACATAGATACACAGATTTACGTATGCCCTACATAAAGTGTTTGATGTGTCTTTTACAAAGTCACCATGAACTAAGTGTCCCTAACTAGCTCCAAGGTGATCCCGTGTCATGATTAAGGAGATATGACGTAATATATGAGTTGCTATAGGCCATCAACCACAGTGATGCAAGACAATTGGACTCGCTGCTAGTATACGGCAATGACTAATGTTGTTGAAAATTTGTATAAGAGATGGCGTTGATGTCTCAAGGCGCTCTGGTGGTGCCTTTTTTCCGTCTTATATATTTATTGATACAGTACAAGAAGGTACATTGGATTTGAGAGTACAGAGGGTTAAAGTTTTTACATTGTAAATTGTCATTAGCAAGCATAACATTTCGGGCAGATCCTTAATCTAACATATCATTTTAAGAAGGTAATTTTTAGCAGAATTAAAAAAAAATTACAGGTACATTGCAAGAAAGGATAAAAATGCATTCTAAGAAAGTATATAATAAATACATTGTATAAGAAATTTAACAGGATTAGTAGGTACATTAAAGTAAATTTAAGGGTCATCCACAGGTACATTGTAGCATAATTTGAGGATTTATTTATTTATTTGTTTATTTATTTATATACAAGAAGGTACATTGGGTTTGTGAGAATACATAGCCTAGTATTTACAATGTTGTAAAGCCACTAGTACGCGCAGCGTTTCAGGCAGATTCGGGATTATTGCAAGGTATAATGCAATAAACTATGTCAAAACTATGTCAATAAACTATGGATATCGAGGGCACTTGGTGTCAATTGCCGGCTGGAAAGATATTGCAAATCAAATGCAATATCTTTCATAGACAACTGGGAACACTTCTATGGAAGAAATGAAATGTATGCTCGTGATGGGGTGCATCTATCGAGAGCTGGGGTTGTTGCTGTTGCGAACTCGCTAGAAGAAGTGGTTAGAGGTGTTTGTTTGGGTTTAAACTGTTAGTAGATAGAGGTATGGGAATTGATTTGGAGGAAGGAGGTAATAAAAGTATGTGTTTGTGGGAGAAAGGAATTGGCAAAACGATCAGGGAAAGAGAAGGTCCGCAAAATAACAATTCACTTAGGGTATATTACACTAACAGTAGAAGTCTAAGAAATAAAATTAACGAATTAAATGCTCTTGTCTGCACAGAAAAAATAGATATTATTGCACTTACCGAAACGTGGATGAATGTAGAAAATAGAGAACTATTAGCTGAATATCAAATATATGGATTTAAACTATTTCACACAGATAGATATATTAGACGAGGAGGTGGAGTAGCCATATATGTTAGGGACAATTTGAAATGTAGTCTCAAAGAGGGAATCAAAACAGAGCCACACACAGAAACTATTTGGATTGAATTAAACGAAAAAGCTAATAATATTATAATAGGAGTAATATATAGGCCACCAAATTTAGACAGAATGGAAGCAAAGCATCTATGGGATGAAATATCTAGAGCATCTAGATCTAACAGTATTTATGTCATGGGTGACTTTAATTTTAGCGGAATAAACTGGTTGAACAAAACAGGGAATAGTGAATCAGAAGATTTTCTAGAATTAATTGACGATTGCTTTCTTACGCAACACATTAAGGAACCAACACGGGAAAATAATATTTTAGATTTAGTGTTAACTAACAGGGAAACGCAAATTAATGACATCGAAATAGGGAGTGAGCTAGGGAGCAGTGATCACAAAGAAATCAGATTTAGCATAGAATGGAATAGACCAGTAGGAGAAAATTCTGTTAAAGTGCCAGATTTTCGAAAAGCTGATTTTAATAGCCTAAGAAATTTTTTGGGTCAAATTGATTGGAAAGGCTTGGGTATGGGGTGTGGGCCGGTCTTGGAGCGAGACATGAACCCAGCGATAGGTGACTTAAATGGGGATTTCGATGTGGATTCAATATATAACTTATTTAAGAATATTCTAAACAAAGCACAGGAACGTAGTATACCATACAAATTGAATAGATCGTATACTAATGACCCAAAGTGGATAACAAAGAATTTGAAGAACCTTATAGGTAAAAAGAGAGCTTGGTACAAAAGGATTAAAAATGGGGAGGTCACTTTAGAACAGGAATTCGTACAACTGGTTAGAAATGTTAAAAAAGAGATAAGGAAAGCAAAAAGAAACTATGAAGTTCGCATAGCAGGGCAAGCAAAGACAAATCCTAAAGGGTTTTTTCAGTTATATCGTACTAAGACTAGGGAAAGGATAGGTCCATTAAAAACTGAGACAGGTCAAATAACAGATAGTGATGAAGAGATGAGTAGTATTTTTAATAATATTTTGTATCTGTATTTACTAAAGAGGAACTTAACAATATGCCTTCAGCCGAAAAAGTCTATGTGGGTGGGGACGAGGACAGGTTGACGAGTTTAGCAGTTACCAGGGAGGATGTTCTTAAACAAATAGTAAAACTCAAACCAAACAATCCCCAGGGCCGGATGAAGTGTTTGCTAGGGTGCTTAAAGAATGCAAAGAGGAGCTTTGTGACCCACTGTCAACCATATTTAATAAATCAATAGAGTCAGGCAGAGTGCCAGAGTTTTGGAAAGTTGCTAATGTGATACCAGTTTTTAAGAAAGGAGATAGATCACTTGCGTCTAACTATCGACCAATTAGCCTAACGTCTATTGTGGGAAAGTTACTCGAATCTATAATAGCAAATAAAATTCGTCTTCATCTTGAAAAACATAAATTAATAATTGAGTCGCAACATGGTTTTATAAATGGCCGTTCATGTTTAACAAATTTGTTATCTTTTTATTCTAGCATTGTTGAGGCAGTTGATAGTGGTAAGGATTGCGATGTTGTATACCTTGACTTTAGCAAAGCTTTTGATACAGTGCCACATGAAAGACTGATTAAAAAAATAGAGTCTCATGGTATTGGGGGTGCTATATTAAGCTGGATTAGGGCATGGCTATACCAAAGGAAACAGAGAGTTAGTATAAATGGAATCAAGTCAGAGTGGGAAAATGTTGTAAGTGGAGTGCCTCAAGGCTCTGTCCTGGGACCTCTGTTGTTTATAATATATATAAATGATTTAGATTCAGGTTTGAGTAGCAACATTTGCAAATTTGCCGATGATACGAAAATCGGTAGGGAAATTAATTCGGAGGAGGACTCACTATCACTTCAAGTTGATCTAGATAGGGTTTTGAAATGGTCAAAGGATTGGCA